TGACGCCTGTCTGCCGCTGATTTATAACACTTGTTTATTTCAAGATTTCTTTTGAATACTCAATACATGATGTTTAGTTAAAGGCACAATTCTTATTACGTGTATTTATAGCTGACTACTTTACAATAAACTATAAAAATGAAACAGGTTCAAATTCAGTGCCATTTGAAGAAAGGATATCCGAAATCATGCATGGTTTTACCAGTAAGGTTTAATTCAGGGTCGTTCGAAACTACAAGATAAGTCAAAATTGACTTTTCGTTAATTCGATAAAACCTTTTTTCCTACCAATTACCATGCGAGAAGAGTAAATTTTTGTATATATGTTAAAAAAACTAATCTATTTCAGCAAGTTTATCAGAGAGTAGAACATTGGAGAAACTGGAAGTGGCAGACATCTTAGATAAGTAACTAGCAGAAGTCTTTGACTATTGCTAAACATACATTTGTACATAATCACACTAGAAAAGGCTATTAGTTGGCAGCTTTAAAAACTTGTATCATTAAGTGATCGGATAGATTATTATTATTTGTCCCTTGGGTTCCTAGTGGAACATGCGGCTTCAGTAGCATGTCGCCACTGCACTCTCTTTTCTACAGTCTTTTGAACCTGGCACCACGGCTGCCCACAAGCTTTCATTTCTTCCTCACACGACCTCCTATATTTCACCCTCGGACGCCTAACTCATCGTTTCCCATTTGAGTTCCGCTCGAAGGCCTGGCCTGGTGCGTAATGTCCCCATATGGTCTTCTCAGTGTATGTCCAAATCAATCCATCTCCACTTTCTTCTGCATATTTGTTGAGTGATAGGTTTTTGGTTGGTTCGTTGCCAGCCAGATGGAGCGAGTTCCTTGTTGCTTATTTTTATTATTCTGGCCATCTGATCTTCAGTATCAAGCAAGCGCAGGCAGCTATTGATGTATGATGTCTGCAGTTTGTTGGAAAAGCCTTCCGTAACGCTCCAAGTTACTGAACCAGCACTGACTTAACTGACTTAGTGTTCAAAATCTGGATGTTCTTCTTTATGCTGAGTGCAGTAGATCGTCACACTGATTTCAGGTTAATGCAGAAAGGCATGTCTTGCTGTCTTTCCGATCCTGGCTTTGACATCCTGATCTGTGCTGCCGTCGCCTGTAGTTGAAACGATGCCGCCTAGGTAGGTAGGTAGGTAGGTAGGTAGGTAGGTAGGTAGGTAGGTAGGTAGGTAGGTAGGTAGGTAGGTAGGTAGGTAGGTAGGTAGGTAGGTAGGTAGGTAGGTAGGTAGGTAGGTAGGTAGGTAGGCAGGCAGGCAGGGGAACGAGACAACTTCCTTTAGGTTTCTCCCGTTGGTAGTGATTGGTGCTTGTTGTTGTTGGATTTCTTCATCACCTCTGTCTTCTCTGCGTTCACTTGAAGCAAGTCCCATCTTCATTGTCCTGCTTCTTCTTCCAACTTGTTAGTTTTTGCCTGTAGATCTTCGAGTTTGTGCGACATCAAACATAAATCATTGGCAAAATCCAAATCTTCTATCTAGGATCTTCTCCCCTGTCCAGCTAGGGTATTCCCATCTTCTCGCTGCTCACTGTTGGCTGCATGATCCAGTCGACCAATCAGGAAGATCATTGGTGATATTAGGCAGCCTTATCTTACTCCTGTCTTCACTACGAAGGCGTCACTGAGCTGTTGTGGAGCCGTTGTGGATCACTTGGCATGTGGCGTCTTCATATAGCTTTTGAATGAGGCTGATAAAGATTTGTGGCACCAAAGCAGTAGTGTTGAAGCAGCTGCCTGTCAAATTGCTTCTCGGTCGACGCTGTCGAAGGCCTTTTGAAAGTCGATAAAGTTGAGGTAAAGGGTTGACTGTCATTCTATACCCTGTTCTATGATGATGCGTAGCATAGCGTTGCAATTTGATTCACATATAATTTGTTTTTCCTGAATCCAGCCAGCTTGTTCCAATCATAATTTTGAATCCAGTGCATCTTTTAATCTCTCCAGGATTATGCGGTATAGTATTTTGTTTGGGGTGGACAGAGGGGTGGGGTGGGAGCATGATTCCTCGCCAGTTCTTGCAAAGGCTTAGGTCTCCCTTGTTTGAGAGTTTGACAAGGTACTTCTTCTTCCAATCAACGGATAGGTACCTTCTCTCCTTCCAAACCTTCTGAAGTAGTGGTGTGAGCATGTCCGCTGTTGTCTCTGCATCTGTTTTCAGTGCTTCTGGTGGAATTCCGTCTGGTCCTGCTGGGCTTGTGTTCACTGGTAGTTCTGTGGCTTGGCTGCTGGTGGTATTTCTGGACGAGTTGCAGGTGGCGGTGCTGGAGGTGGTTGTGGTGGTCGATTCAAGAGCTTTTTGAAGTGGTCAGCCCATTGTTTCCTTTGTTTCTCCTCTTTGCTAACTAGCCTCCCTTCACTATCTTTCTTCATTGGTTTCATCTGAGTTGATCTCTTCCCTCTCGCATAGTAACCTGGTTACTTGAGAGTGTTGTCAGGTCTCTGTCTCTCCTACCAGTAGCCTGTTTTGCTTCACTTGCCAATGTGTCGTAGGAGTGTCTTTTGTCTTTGCGTGCACTCTTCTTCACTACTTTGTCCAATGTAGTGTTTTATACGTTGTACTCAGTTCGTCTTCTCATTGTTCATTCTTGCACTTATTCATCTGCTTCACCATCTTCCTCTCCCTCCTCTATCAGCTTCCATGTGTCCGTTGACATCCATTCCTTGTCTTGACTTGTCTTGTCTTGATTCTTCTTCCTTCTCAACACGGTTATGCAGGTTTCTTTAAACATCTCTTTCAAAGAGTTTCAGTGTTCTTCCACACAGGTTTCCTTGGATATGTTGCTTAATGTCGCCCGTTCTGTCCTGATGACTGACCAACGTGAAGATGTCCTTTGAAGTTTCGTCCTTCAGTTTCTGTTCTTGGTGTTGAACTCAAATTGTGGTCCATTATCACCAGCTTCTTTGAAGGCTATCAACTTGATTTTTTTGAAGGTGTGTTCCTTTCACTAGATAGTGGTGTGAACCTACATCTGCTCTCCTTCTTGATCTTGTGTCTGGTAGACTGCGTCTCCACTTTCTCCACATTGAAATGAAGTCGATCTGATGTTTAGTGTGTCCTGGTGTCTGGTGAATTCAAATCCATGTCGCTGCCTTGTGAATATCCTTGTGTTCGTACACACTGCCTCCAATCACGAAATAGTTGAATGTGCAGAAATCTGCAAACAGTTCTCCGTTATCATTCATTTCATCGAGTGCTTCTCGACCGATGATGGATGAGTTCTCTTCCTGTGTTGTCCACTCCCCACAGTTTGGCATTCATGTCATCCCACCCATTACAATTTTGACGTGGCTAACTGGGGTGGGGTGGGGTGGGGTGCTGTCCATTACTGACTGAAATTGTCTGTAAAATTCCTCCTTCTTCTCTTGACCCACATTATTTGTAGGTGCGTAGCGTAGCATTAAATGATTGTGACTCTCCTTTGTTTTGAGTTGAATCCATCTTGCTGCCATGATCCTGCCTGATCCTGGAGGAGGAGATTGGTTCCCACTGTATGCGCGAGAGCCTTCGATACTGTTGGGAGGGGGACATCATGACAGCCACTCTAAAACTCAGTGTGCTGGTGGTTGTCGTTTGGGTGACAATATCGGAATAGATTATTGACTCTCCAGTTGATAGTTTGAGGAGTCCACTTCCATTCCATCTACTTTCGCAGATTCTTAACACTTCTATGCCATACCTTCTCATTTCTTTTGTAATCTGGGCAGCCTTGCTAGGTTCATACATTATGCGGACATTCCATTTCCCCATTCTTACTTTCGCTTTGATCAAGAGAAAGAAGACACGTCGACCGACTGGCTTCCTGAAGGCTTTCACCAACTGGCATCATTTCGCCTCCCTGATTCCGGCGAGGAATAGGTTTGTTTTTATTTTTTATATTTTCTCTGTGCTTTGAAGTTTCTTTAGCGACTGGATTAGTTTCCCGGGGTAAGGTTTCTAGCCGAATGCCCAACCTTCCCTCTTTATCCGGGCTTAGGACCGTTTAGTAACTAGTGAACTAGTTACCTAGGCAAGGTTATATACATATATATATATATATATATATATGCATTACGTAACGTTCTTTTTCAATAGAACGTATTTCCACTTTTAACTGGAAATTACTGTGAAATACTCCATCATTTCTTGCATATATTCACAAATGTGCATTTAAGACAATGAGGTCTTCGAAAAGTAGTTTTCTTCGCTGCAATCCTCTTCTCTCTCTTACATATGATTACTGAAACTTACTTTTGGTACAATCGCTGTGCATTGTATGAATTATGAAAAGCGCTGATGCGTAGTATTAAACAAAGTTTGAAAATATTAAATGTTGTCTTGTATGGTAGTACCTCAGCACTTTCACGTGACTGAGAAGTTAAAACATTTTGGGTTTGCACCTAGAACTCCAAGTAAGTAATTCTTAGATGCCAGTCTGTGCAAAGAATGCTTCGAGCTGAAACAGTTACATCATAATTGTGATCTACCTTGCTGACGTGTGCCAGAAAGCCCGAAACATAGGTTCAAGGCTTCTTATCACTTATGTTCAACAATCTAACATCAATCAAGGTGCACCGTGATTCTGAGTTTCCTGGCCTAGTAACGACACTACAAAATGATCTAATCTAATTAGTTCGCTAAAACAAAAGTGTCTCATAGATAGAGTTATCTAAGACAGAAACGTTATGTTGGTGTGCTCGCGCTTGATGGCATGATTCAATTCTTTTGCTTTACTTTTTTAACTAGAGAAAATTGTAAATTTTGAGATAGTGGAGAGTTTTTGAAGCTTAGGAGAACACATTACAACCAAGACTTGTAGATGTTTAATTTTTTCAAAAACCAGCTTTATTAAGTTTGTGTAAATTCAGAAATTTACTTTCCCAGCTAACTGACATTTTATTCGTACATGAGTTAAAATTTTATAGAATTTACAATATTCATTCTCCTAGAAATGATGTTTTTTCTCTTTCTTTGAAATTTCTTTTCCAGGTGATAAGCCATATTCATGTTCAGCTTGTGGAGTATCATTTACTCAAGGATCATCTTTAAAACTACACATTCGATCACGTCATAATGATAATGGCAGTTACTTTTCATTAATACGTAAACCTGGTAAAAACAACTTGACAAAACTATGGACAAGAGTTTTAAAAAAAGATTTACCTAAATTCACTTCATTTGAATCACAAAATTCTTATTATTATTATCATTACTGGAACAAATGGAGGCATTCAGTAAATATAGAACAAAAAAGTCGCTTAAAAAATGTTAAGCATAAGAGTAAATTGAACACTGCCACTGAACAAGCAAACAATAATCTGGCTTGTTCAACATCAAATGAATTTCAACAAATATATAGTACAAAAGAAGGAGATAATAAACATGGTGTTACTTTAAATTATTGGAAGTCAAGTAGCTGTTCTGGCTACCCAGATCTTGAACCAGCAACAGGTATAACTAAAAGATATACCAAACGTCCAGCAGATCAAGCAGGTAATGAACGTTTAGGACCGAAGCATAATAAACGCCGTTATATCAGGAAAACAAACATCAGTGAACATTTAACTGAAATTCAAAAAGAAGAAATGCGATATTCAAGTTGCATGAATGACTTAACAATGATTACCGAAGTAGAAAATCCTACAACTCAAAATACTAAACAGTCCGTTATAAAAATAAAGAATAATATGAAGGTAGAAGAACCAGATTCTAAATTATCGAAAACTGTACTATATTCTACGGTTTATAACTATTTAGGTGACCAAGAATTTCATACAAGCACTATTCATACTACTGACATAACACCAGTACAACTTAAACAAAAAGTGGTAACTTCAAGCTGCTCAAACAGTTCTAGCATCAAATGTCAAGAAGAATATCTGCCATTTTCGATTGCTGCGCTACAACCAAGTTAATCCTAGAATTTTTTATTCCATCACTTATCATGAGAAGAAGACGATAAGTAAAATTTAAGAACTATACAATCATTGCTTGAACAGAGGTAACATGCTTTATGAACTATTCAGTTATATTCGGCTTTTGACATAAAACGTGGGTTTCAGTGGAATTACTTGAACATATTTCAGTAAAATACCACCTATTACTCGTCATTAAAGCATCTTTAACATTCTTTTTCACTTCCTCTTATATATTTACCCACTTAATTTGTGCTCCCTTGACTTATTTTTAGTGATAACCTTTTTTATTTGAAAAGAATGTTCACTGATAGAAGTAATAAAAATTTATTCAATATTGTTCATGTGTACAATACTGACGTTAATTTTTCACTGATCTAAAAGCTTTGCTGATTGCTTTATATCGAATAAATGGACAGGTAATTGTAACTTATTCACTAATGTACTGATGACATCGTTTTACATTTGGTTAGTCTGCAGGTATATCAGCAAACAGGAAACACACGAAAATTTCTGCCAATCACTTTTAGCTATATTTCATTAAATATATTTGCCAGCTTAGTAGGCGTATGGTACCCTCTGACCCTAAGTTTCGCTGAACGCAATAAGCAAAATATGATGTTAGTTATCATTCGGTAGTAGGTACTTGGACTCAGCTTATTTTTTTAAGACGTCTGTTTCTTCTTAACTGTGGTATTAGACGAAATAGGTCTGGAAGTTCATGATAATATGAGTTTGATTTTGGAAGCTTGTGAGGATTGACTGATTTCAAGTAAATACTCGTCGCTGACTGACAGTCGCAGAATTGTTGAAAACCTGGGATCATTGGACAGCTGTTTCTACTTAGTGTAGAACTCCTCAGCAGCGCACGCCCGCACCCCCAAGAGTGATCGAACCCGGAACTTTCAGGTATCACAGCAAGCATATTACCCTTGAGCCAATGGGCTGAAACCCAATTATCTACACTTTCCTACCTCTTTCAACCCACTACAGAATACGGCCTTCATCTACTGCAGTCGATGAGTCCCCAACCTTACGTCTGACTTGGTTTACCCCAATGGTCACGGTTTCTCATTAGAACTTATGAATGTTTCGTCTCGAAACAAACTAGTAGTGAGCACTGGGCAGCAAATCAATTTGGAGTTTTGTGAAGATTCATTAGTTTCAGGTTGGTATTCATCTTTAATGGGATCATGGGTATGTACTGCTGAGGATTTCCACACTAAGGCGAAACGGTTGTCCAACGCTCCCAAGCTTTCGGTGTTTCTCCAACCTATCTCAGTCCATGATGAATACCAACTTAAACTATGAATTTGCTTAGGATAAAAGATACGTCCCGCTAGGGAATGTTGAAAAGCATGAGATCAAAGCTCAAGAATCCTTGCTGTTGTTTATCACTCAGCATAATGAAATGTCATTGTATCTTAACGTCACTACTTAAAATACTAGAACAAATGCCGTGATCATTCTGTGGAGGGCAACCAAAATATAAGAAACTTCCATTACTATTTGGTTTTCAATCCAAATATGGACCACTGAAAACGTCCTGGCTGCGAGACTCGAAGGTTCTGGGATCGACCCCTGGTTGGGTCATAAGTGTGCACTACTAAGAAGTCCCATAATAGGACTAAACAGTTGTTCAGTGCTCCCAGGTTTCTATTGTTCCTCCAACTGATATCGGTTCATGATCCATACCAACCTGAAACCAATAAAATTCTCACAATCCTCTAAATTTAACAAAAATTCTACTATTATGATAAGAGAGTAGATAGGTTTTAATGTACCTTACAGGAACTTACTGGCATTTATCAGTTCCTTCTTGCATACTTCATGTATGCTGATCTAAACAAATTCAAAAGCATTGTTTCTTTCCAATATGACTTTTTATTGGCTTAAATTATACACACGATTTTGTCACCAAATATTTACCATAAGAATGGTGGGGAATATTTGTAGCCCAGGTGGATGGTATTGGTTGTATTGTGTTCCGTGAGCTGGATTGTTTAATCTTGGAGACGACATCATCAGCATTAACTTCATTATGACTTCATGCTGAAGTTAGTGATGATGATGTTATCTAAAAAGACTATGAAATCTCCACGATTAAACAACCCAGCTCAGAGAATACAATACAGACAAGGTTTACCATAGGAATACCTTAGATCCGAATGCTGATTGAATTCTGCTGATCAAAGAAAACTCTATTATAACAAAGTTAATTGGTATCATGTATGATTGTACCCTATTTTGCTTTATACCGGTTTTCTAAGTAAGGTGTAATTCCCACTGGCAAGAAAATTAGTTTCATTTGATAAAGAATGGTGGACATTACAAACAGAAAGTGAACTTCATTTACAAACTTAGTTTTTAATTAGTCGCAAGAATCAAATTAATGGTTTGTGGAGAGCCGATTCATGACCAGGCAGTTTTGGGTAAGGGTTGACAACCCAGACATTAATTAAAGAATGGTGAACTCTTAACAGGCATTGGATTGCGATAACTGTTGTTGAAGTGAATTTCTGAAAATTAAAAATATCCCCAAATGTAGAGTTAGCCATTATGTAAGTTAGGACGAAAGCTTACAGATGTCATCGAGCGACGGTCCTGTGGAATCACGAATTGACAAAATTTAGAAATTTGGAAACGATATGTTCCAACAAGGTACTTGAAAGGTCGACATAAACCGATCCAAATTCTGCACCGGGTTATGGATACATTCTTTTAAATAGTTCTTAACTAAGGTTAAACAGCTCTCCGATATGAAACTGTTTCGAACAGTTCTGGAGTTGATATGAGTCTGAGATAAAAAGTACCTCAAAGGTGAGAGACGTTCACAATTGACAGTAACAGATGCACTTTGATATCAAATTGGACTGGGAGTTAAGTAACAAAAAATCTCTTACATAGTCCCTTAGAAGTCACCCAGACTAATCAACCAACTTGCCGACATAACTGCTGGCAAAATGGTATGCAAATGCATACGAATGTATCCCTCATTTAGTTTGATTTATGCAGACACGATTTTGTATTATCATGTTGTAAAACCTTAAAGAGTACAAACAAGTGGTAAGTGAATGTTCATCTTACAAAAGGATATTAATTCTTGACAGAAGTATAAAATCATCTCCAAAAGCTTGACGGTATACTAGACTGAATTTATTGTTAATTGTTATTACTACGTACTATACAATGTGATGTGACGATGAGATCAAATGGAGAAGCCTACACACCTGTTTACTTGGTTTTATACCAACAAATTAAGGCAGGAAAATAATTGAGTATATGACAGGAAGGGTGAAGCAAGTGTGTTTTTGACGACACACTGAATAATCAAGTGAAAGAAACATTTATTAAAAGATTCTAAGCGATTGTGAGTGCACTGTAAGAGGGTTTTATTAGAACACTCCGTGCTCAAGCTGGTTTATTTCACCTATCAACATTAAACATTGAGTCCTTGATCTGTTCAAACTGGTGTGCATGCATAAGTCATTTTGCTCCTTAGGTATCAGTTATGTGGAGTAAACAATCAGAACTTCCTCTAACATGTTGAAGAACACGTCTCTAAATAGTTAAGCAAATGGGAAAATGAGTGTTTACAAGCAGTATGCTTCTACGTCTTGTTGAAACAGATCACATGGTAAACAATAATCCAGCCATCACAATTTATTAAGTTTCCGGTTGACTACTATACTTTTGTTGCTTGTATTATCCCGCTGTTGATAGGACCGAATTGATCGATCTCTGTTGGCATATGAGCTCCTGAGTGGATTATTCGATATTACCTGTATTTCAATTATATATATTTATGATAGATAACTGTACCCGTCACATAAGTAGAGGCTATCGTAACTCAGTAGTCTAGTGGATAACGAACGCTCTGGCGTTTTATGCGGTCAACCCTCAGTTCGAGTTCCAATGGGAATAAAATCACTCACTAGGAGGCAAGTACATATAGCCGACGAATCATAAATAGGATGGAACGTACGCCCTGGATTCCACTACTAGCCACTATCCATCATAAATGACTACTATACTGTTTCCATTTTCAGATTGCAGAAACACTTTCAATCAAAATAATAAAATATATGTGAACATACTAAATTCGTACAGACTTGTTATCTATTTCGGTCATGTAACGTTACTGATGAGTGTTTCTGAAACCTAATGTTATTGTTGCTACTGAAACCCATACTCAACAATAATCGTTCAAAGCACTACAGCATTATCTACTAGACTACTGTGTCACAAATTTTTCATAATCTTGTTGTAGTAAATAAATGAGCAAATATACAAGAATCTCAACAAAATTTGTCTATAAATGGTCTTCGAACAGGATTTGATGCCTGAAATACTATTTTCAGTATTAATAAAATCAATTCTTCTCATCCCCAATTACACAGTTCACGAAGCTTGAAGTCACTTTGTCAGTTAAAAATGTGGGAAATCAAGACATAATTACTTCTAAAAGACTGTAAAATAAACACATCTGTAAATGACTTAAATCAGTTGATTTAAACACTTGTGCGAGATAACTGGTATAAAATCCTACATTCGCAAAGATGTGCTGGGCATCTTTTTCACTTGATATTTATTTTGGGAGAGCACAGAAGTCTGTGACTAGATTTTAAATCTGTCATAGAGTAACACTCCCGTCAAAGTCACAGGTGGATCTTGCTTAAGGGTACCAGTATGCACAAGGTCAATAATTAGGACTTTTCACGGATTATCTCCAATCATCTGTCCTCTAAAGAGATATAGATTACTGATAAATCTCCCGGAATGTTGACCACGTTAGAAAACTGATAAGTAGAATTTGTTCAACACTTACAACTAGATAAGATGATGTTGTTTACTTCTCAGTAACTGATAGGTGTCAACATTGGTGAAATGCAAATCAGGGATTAACGTCTGTTAGTTTGATACCTCCTTTCTAACAACGCCATTCTACAATTGTAAAAGATAAACTTCACCAGCATCAATGTATCACTTTGATTAGAGAT